CCATTTTATAGATGATGAAGCTGAGGCTGAAAGAGGTTAAGTGACTTGGCCAAGATCACACAGCTCAGTAAGTGGATGAGGCAGAATTTGAACTCAGTTCTTCCTGACTCCAAATTTAGCACTCTATCTCCTGCGTCACCTAGCTGCCTCAGTAGAACCTAGAGAACAATACACATGATTGTAACAATGTAAATAAAATTATTACTTATATCAGATAACTGCATTGGCTGTTTTTGGTCCTGGAGAGCATATGATGGACCGTATTTCTTTCCTTAGTAGGGAAGTGGGGGGGGTACTTAGAGGTACATGTAAGCTCCTTGATAGAAAGGATTGTTTAATTTATTTGTTTTTATATCTGTAGTGCCCAGTACAATGCCTGGCACACAGTAGTCACCTCATAAATGCTTATTGATTGTGTACAATTGCTACTACTGTCAAATATAATCATTATGTTGGCTGATTTTGCTTAACCCTTTTTCTTTTGTATGAAGGAGCACCTTAAAGAATATTGTGATTTTAGCAGTTGGTACTGCGGTATAAAAATCAAAAAGTATCAATGAAAATTTTAGAAATAGAGACAACTACCATAGTCCAGGCAAAAGGTGAGAAGGCCTGACCTGGGTTGTGGCAATGTGAGCAAAGAAGGCATGGACGTAATAGATACAGAGGCAACATTAATAAAACTTAGCAACTGATAGCTTTAAGGCTTTGAGCCTGAATGACTGCAAAAATGCTAATTAATACCTTCAACAGAATTGAGAAAATGAGGAAGAGAGGGGCAGATTTTGGAGGAAAAATGACAAATTCCATTTTGGATGTCTTTCTTCCTTCCTTCCTTCCTTCCTTCCTTCCTTCCTTCCTTCCTTCTTCTTTCTTTCTTTCTTTCTTTCTTTCTTTCTTTCTTTCTTTCTTTCTTTCTTTCTTTCTTTCTTTCTTTCTTCCTTCCTTCCTTCCTTCCTTCCTTCCTTCCTTCCTTCCTTTCTTCTTTCTTTCTTTCTTTCTTTCTTTCTTTCTTTCTTTCTTTCTTTCTTTCTTTCTTTCTTTCTTTCTTTCTTTCTTTCTTTCTTTCTTTCTTTCTTTCTTTCTTTCCTTTTTTATGAGGCATTGGCAGGACACTCAAGTGGAGATTTGAAATTTAGCAGACAATTTGAAGTTTAGACCTAGAGTGCTTTTCTGCCCTTTGCCCGTAATCTTAATGAAAATGTGTGCCTCTGCTGAGTTCATCTCTAGCCCTGCCCTTGTGAGGAGCAGCTCTTGGCTGCCCAGAGGTTCAAACAAAAAAGAGCCTCAGCATCTTGGCAGCTTCAAGTCCCCTGACCTCACTCATCCGCAGATGTGGCTTCCAAGCCAGGACCATCTACAAGGGATGTTGACACAGCAGCCAATGTCATCGGGGCTAGGGCTACCACTGTGGGTGGGAGTGGCTGGCTCTGGGGCTGGGATCAGGACTGTATTTGGAAGCCATATCATTGATTATGCCAGGAATCCTTCTTCTCCACCAGCTTGTACTTTGCCTTATCTGAAGCCATGGGACTCTGCTTCATAGTGGACTTCCTCATCCTCTTTCGCCTTGTGAAGGAGTGATTTCTATTCCCTACTGTTCTCCTCCTGGTCTAGTAAAGAGAAAGAGGGTTGAGGAAAAAGCCTGGTGGGTCTAGGGAGGCAGGGGGAGGGGGTGGGGAAACAACATATACTTGGAGAAATTAATGACAAAAAAGGACTTTCTGGCCTTACTTTCTTCATCTGTGAAATGAAGGGGTTGATCTAGATCGGTGGTGTCAACAGAAATAAAGGCCACTGAACTACACACAAGGATTCCTGGGGTCCACGTATTGATTTAGAAAACTACATATTAACAGTATCTTATGTTTTTATTAATTTTGTTAAGTAATGCCCAATTATATTTTAATTTAGTTCAGGCCATACTCAGAAGTGTTAATGGGCCTCATGGAGACTGTGAGCCGAGTTTTTGACACATTTGGATTCTAAGGCATCTTCTGGTTCCCAATTCATAGCTCTCAATCCTATGAGAGGAGTCAGAAAAAGTCTAGGAGATAGAGAACATTGTCATGAGCTTATATTAGCTGAGGAGGATAACCAGAAAGGAGTTAAGTGCTAACAACATCAAATGCTGCAGAAAGATGTGGATGGAGAACACACCACTGGGTTTGACAGGTCATCAGTAACCTGAGAAGGAGCTGTTTCAATAAAGGAATATGCGGACCCAGATTACAAAAGGAGAAATGAGTGGATGGTATAGTAATGGAAGACAAGAAAGAAAAAAATGGGCTAGGGAGAGATGGAGAGTCTTAAGTTTTTTAGGACGAGGATCAAAGCTTGTATTATGTTATGGCAGTATACATTTAAAACAACTTACTTAAAAGTTTAGGAAAGTAACTATAGGCCATCCCTAACTTACAAATATTCTATTTGTAAACTAATTACTTGGAATTTGGCATTCATTTTCTCATAGGAATTATATTTTAAGTGGTTGAGAAATTACCAGGCTAGCCCACAGAAGCCTTTTTTTTTTTTTAATGCAAATTGTAGATGAAATTAGTATTAGCCTGAGCTGCATATACTGGAAAACAGAGGGCCTTGTAGTATGGGAAGGGAGAGGAAGCATATAATTTTCCTCCCTCTTCCCTGTATAGGACTGGCCCTAGGCAAAATTTCATAATAGGTGAAATGTCTTTGGCAGGTTCTCCATTTCTGTTTCCACATCTTTCTTCTACCCCCTGGACTCCTGGTGCCTTGTCTTGGCCCTCCCTTACAAGTCTTTCCATGCTTCAAAATTAAATTTTACTTTCCTGGCTTATCTCCATTCCTTCATCCCAATCAAAACTCTTATTCCCACCATGTATATTAGATAGTAATCTGATTTAAATAATTTACAAAAGCATATGAATGATAGCCCCTTAAATTTTTAGAGAGGGTACTTGTTAGTCCAAATAATGTGCTAAGTGTCAAAATTTTAAACAGCATATCAAAGTAAAGCAAAAATTATCAAGCTACTTGGAGAAACATATTTTTGAGCAGAGGAGCCAGCATTGGGCAGGGCAGGCAATTCTGTCCTCAGGGCTTCTATTTTTTTCTTCTATTTCTTACCTTCCACGTTTTCAGAACCTACCCATTGTGGACAGTGGTGGCAGGACCTGCAAGTTTGGGGCTGGAGAAGATGGAAAGTGTTCCATAGCAGCAGTTTTGGGTCATTTGTAAGTCAGGTGTGTAAGTCAGAGACAGTCTGTCCTTGCTAATTGAATAAAAGGTGGGAGGAAACACCCAAGAACGTTCTGTTGCTGCTACTTTGTCTAGAGTTTCAAGAGAGTAGGGGAAAGGTCCAGTAATCCTTAGCCAGATCCATTGTGAAATGTTCATAGTATCATTTTGACATTTGGAGTAGTACTCTGTTGTTATAAATTCCTCTTCATATTACCAGTGTTAGTCTCAGAACTCGGGCTGTTTCACAAACCATAACATTTTTTAGTGAGTGATTGATCTGTATTATGTGTCCTAGCCATCAGGAGAATCTTGGGATGGTGCTTGTATTAATGGTAATATAATCCGAGGCTTCGCATTTAGTTACAGTCCTTCATAGACCTATTGGCGATACTCAATCCTTCTGGATTTGAGAATGAAGCTTATCTGATACCTTTAGGGGGAAAAAAATCCCTTCATTTTCTCTGTTCCCCACTTAAATAACTCAACACATCTGGTAATACTGTAGGATCATTGTCCTTTCAGTTCCTATGCAGCTCATATTGCTACAATATTAAGTATTTGGTTACCTAAAGGACAACATGATTTAAAAAAACAAAAAAGACTGTTTTTATAAGTCTTACAAATTAACCTGTGTTGCTAGGGGGAAAAATGTGCCTTAATCAGCAGAATTTGCACAGTCATCTGTGTCAGTATGTTATGCAGTATGTCAGTAAATATAATATAGAGATAAATGCTTGTGTATTGAGATTTTGAGGCAAATGATTTAGCCAAAAATATTTATCAGGTATGAGTTCTGAGACTCACATATTTTTTCTTTGGGTCTGTATCCTTTGGTTTAATGTCTTCAATTACAAGAGTGATAACAAAACCCTTTAAGTCAATCAGAACTAAAGCTAAATTTTAGGAAGCAAAGAAAAGGGATCAGATAGAAAATTACATATAGGAAGTTAAATGCTCAAGAAATTAAAACTTGCAAGCCTTGGTGGGCTTGCCTTAAGGAACCTTTATTTGAAAAATCTGTGTTGAATTTTATAACAAATTCCTTCATTTTGTTCTCTTGAATTAAGACAGTTTGTGCAAACGGCTCTAAATTGTACAGTGGTTCCAGGGAGATCAGACTGCTTGTTTTATGTTCTTGAACAAGTTCAGATTTTTCAGCTTTGCTTGAATTTTTTTTTAACAGTCTGAATCCTCAAGACAATACAGATTGATAAATCTAATTTAAACATTTCTGGGTTGCAGACATTTTCAGTGTATGTGGTACAGCTGACCCTCAGGCCATGCACTAAATACATCCCCAGCACATTTCAAGAACAGCAGAATGCCAAATGATCACGTTTGAAAGGTTAGCTCTGCTTTCAATTCTGTCTTCCCTTTCTGTATTAAGAATGAAGATTAGAATTGTAACAGTTTCCTGAATGAGGCATTGAAAAAATTACCTGCCAGACAGAAATAAACATGCAAAAATTAGATTGATTTGAGATTTCATTGATTAGCTGAGATTTAAATAGATGTTCCAAATGACTCTTGACTAGATTTTCATGTATATTAATGGCACACTAAGACTGTAAGACAGTGGGTTTGAAGGATTTGGATCATGGTTTTAGTTTTCAGATGGGCAGGGTTATTTGCCAGGATCTTTGCTGGTAACCCTATTCATTCTGTCAAGCCACATAATCCTACCAGTACATTGAACCCTGTGTTCTGTTCGGAGGCAAGATGAGGATAAATGATTTTTTCAAATTGCTTCTTTTCATTTTTTTCCATTTGTTTTTCAGGTCGTGGAACTTGTATCAAGTGCTCTTATTGACTTAGTGCAAGGAATATACTGTGAAAACTCTACTTCAGCAGAGGTAAGAATTTTGAAGCCCCTAGAAGGGAGTAAACTTAAAACACTCAAGAAAAATATGATTTCCTCTTTTTTGTTGTTGTTGTTTAAATCATACATAACATTTTTTAGATACGTGTTTTGGCTAAAAACTAGTGGCCATATGCTTGGTACATAACAGATTTAGCCAATTAATATAACCTCTCCTCCTCTGGCTGGACTCGCAGTCTGCTCAATCTGCAGTACCACCCCAGCCAACTGGGAGAGACCCTTCTGGTCTACAGGTAACTTTGGTACAAGGTGGAGCTTAAAGGGAATCTTATGCTGAGGCAGCTGTGCCTAGACTTTCCTCAGAGGAACTGGTATTAAGTATATCACCGAAGAGTTGACTATGGTCCAAGAAAAATGACTCAACACTCAAGTTTGCATTTCTAAACACACTTTTACTGTCCAGAAACAGTTGTTACCTTATGCATTTCTGCATGGTAATAATTGTGATGGTTCCATAGTAGAATTATTTTGATTAACTTATAGAAAGAGAATTAAGATTTTTTTTTTACTCATTTAACAGAACTTCTCAAAAAATGTTTTCTCACACTTCCTAAAAAAAAAGAAATTTAATTTCAGCAGTGCATTAGATATCAAGAAATTGCTTCATTTACCACAGTCATCGTTTAACATTTTATGTATGTAATAAGGGATTCCTCTTAGAGCCTCATTATTCTAACTTGTGCATCTTACCTAATAGTACCATGTCACTAACTAAAAATTGGCAAGAGACTGCATGTGTGCAGATATTAAGCTCTTTGACCTTGAGAGAGAGAGATTGAGAGAGAGAGAGAGAGAGAGAGAGAGAGAGAGAGAGAGAGAGAGAGAGAGAGAGAGAGAGAGAATTGTAATGGAAGTGAAATTCCATGAGATGAGCAAGTCATTAAGAAATATAAATGTTAAAGGTATACCCTTTGTACACTTTGGAGAGTCTAGACACTTATTATAGGGCTACAGAATTGTGTTGTTTTGGTCACCTGCTAACATTCGGCCCAGGTTCATTTGTTAGGATAGCCATCACCCAAGCACCAAGCAGTCTCTGCTGGGGATAGGGGCAGCTGGGAGGGAGAAAAATGTACTTCAAGGGTGTTAGGCCTAAAGTGTTTTAGGAGGAAATGGTCTAGAAGAGAACCCCTTGGCTGTGACTTGCAAAACTTATATTCTTAGTCTAGTTCTTTTCTAGTAGTCACTTCATAGGTGACTTTATGAGGCCTTTATTGACAGCTCATGTGATCCTGAGTGCCTATTTTGTGGACTGAGAACTTCAGTCTTTAGAGTTATGGGTCTTAGGTAGTAATCTTTACAAGGATTTCCTCAAGAGCTACCTCAGTTAGATAAAAAGATTACATATAATACATATGTGCCCGCCTAGGATGTGGAGTGAAGTCTCAGGCAGTTTTCGAATTAAAGTGTTACTCTTGGGGCAGCTAGGTGGTGCAGTGGAAATAACACTGGCCCTGGAATCAGGAAGACCTGAGTTCAAGTTGGGCCTCCAACAGGTACTAGCTGTGTGACTCTGGGCAAGTCACTTAAACCCAGTGACCTTCCCCTCCCCCAAAAAATGTTATTGTTAACCTTAAGATAATTTCTTGATTTAAAGAAAAAAAATCATTCAACCACTGTAACTAATGCAGATTCCTTCCCTCTGTCGGAGGTTGGAAAGAAAGAACTGGTGAAGGGAAAGAAAAGTTGTAGAACTTTTCAGTATCATTGATGATAAATGAGGCACAGCTTAGAGAACACTGGTCTGACAACTTTTATTAATACTAAATTCCCACTTTAAAAAGCCATAGCATCACATTTACCATAATATACCCTTTCTGCACTCTTCTTCAGAACCGAAGAAATACCTCTTTTCAGGCCAACTGAATTTCTGAACAAAGCCAAACCATTTAGGCAGAACGTAGGGGAGGAGAGGAAAGAAAGCTCGTAGTTCAGTTGCAGCAGTGGGAGTGCTTCTTGGTACCTCCATTTGCACCCCAGGTCCAATTAAGGTTAACCACATTTCCTTCCCTACCAAGAAATCTCTGGCTCTCTCTGAGTATGTTTGCCATTGCAACAGTTCTTCAGAATCTGGTTTCTTTTGACTTGGCAGGACGACCCTCTGAGAAGCAGAGAGGGATGAACAGTGTCCCCACATCAGAGTGGCTTCACAGTTTTCCTGTTCTGGCATGATTGTAAAGCAGCCCAGAGATGGAGGTCTTGTGGGAAGCCAGTAGTGCCTCGTTGCCAGCAGTTGCACTACCTCCTTAGCCTTGGGCCAAGTCAGTACACAAAAGAATTGCTTTGTGATTTAAAATAAGCTGCAAACCTTTCTGTCTCTCTAGGGGTTAAGTGGCTACCATGGTGTTTTGTTCCTCTTTGGTAACATGATGCAATAATGAAGAAGCTTGAGCAGTACAAAAATAGCTTTCAGTAGAATGGTATCTAAAAGGCCAGGGCTTGATTAACTAGATAAAAGTATTGTCACTGTGGATACAAACCAAAATCATATCCTACTCCAAAAAAGACCAAGTACGTAGGCTGCAACAGATTTATTTAATTTTCCTTCAAAATCTGGTTTCATCATTTCTGAGTATAGGTCTTACTAATATAGACCTATATTAGTAATTAGTAATATATTAATAATATAGATCTATATTAGTAAGACTTAATCTCTCTACAGAGTACAAATAAATTCTTGTTCTTGTTAAATGGACAGAATAATTTAGGGACTTCAGTTCTCTTTGCTTTTATACATATTTAAAGATTGCTCCACAACCCCATAGTTGCTAGTTTATAGGGTAATTTCATTGAAGAAATAAGTATATTAAACAGGGAGATAATGTTTTATAATAATGGTACCTGCTCATAAGACCAACTATATATACTGTTTTCCTCAGTTTCTAATAACACCAGGGATGTGGTCATTCCCATTCTCATAAATTTAGCAACATTTCCACTCCAACAGCATTCTTTCTACTCTCACAGCCATTTATAAACTAACTCTTGTTTTTTTTAAAATTTCTTTTGAATCTCATTGCAAGTATATGCAATATCTGCAAGTATTCAATTTTTTCCCTACTTGTGCACATCATAAAGCAACCAACTGATGTATTATATTACCAAACTAGAGCTAGAAAAAGGGTTAATTCTCATCCCTATTTTAGTCACTTTGGAGTTTTTTTCTTTCATTTCATTTCTCAACTAGAAGATATAAAATCAAACAGGTTTAACAGTTAAAGAGTTTAACAGTTTAACCAACTAATGCCCCCTACAGACCTAGGTGGCATCTATTAAGCATTATTGAGTCCCACTACAATGCTCAGTGCCCAAAGGCCTGCGCAGAAGATTGAGTAAGGATTGACTTCCAATCTTGTAGTTAACCATCTCAAAATCTAAAGGTTCACTAGGAGATTGGGTTTCAAAGGTCAGGCTGTATTTCCTCTTCTCTGATATTATCCTTGGCATATTTACTTGAAATGTTTTTAAATCTTTTTCTGAGGATTTGTGCATGTGTCCCCTAAAATGTTAGAACTAGATCATCTAAGCTAATTCTTCATTTTGAAGTTGAGAAAATTGTAGCTGAATGAGATGAGATGACAAGTTATGGTATATTCTCAAAAATCACGGAGAAAGGCCTTCCTGCTACTTTAGAAAAGTAATTGGGCTTATTCATTTCTATTATGACCAATCAAGAAGCATTTATTTAAGCACCTACTGTGTGTCAGGCAGAACTCTGCTTCTGCCTCAATGTTTACTGTCTAATCCAGTTTCTCATTTATGAAGAAAAGAGGGTCACTTATAGCAGGCCTTGCTCCTGCTCCATTTTGACATACTGCCCTAAATAGGCTGTATATTCAGTGCTGCTTTTCTGTCAGTATGTTCTTCTCTCCCTAGAGCCCCCTTTTAGTCACCAGGCCACCTCAGGGAAGACTTCATTCCATGGGTTGAACCACGCCTGCTTTTCAATCTATGAGTCTGGTACCATTACATTATTGAACACTTAAGCTTTCATTTGCACCTTTTCTTTGTGGGAAGAACACTGGGTTTGGAGAGGAGGTGGGTTCTAACTCTGATGGTCACTTACCTATTTGACCTTGGGTAAGCCTGAATTTTCCTCATCTGTAAAAATAAGGGGGTTGGACTAGATGACCTTATTCCCTCTTTCCTCCCAGGTTTTTTGCAGTTTTTCCATTTGACAATCTGACAGAGAGGATATGTAAGGAATTATTTTTCAGATATGCCTTCTTCTGGCTTTCTTGTTGTCATTTGTAATCCCACTCATTCCTATTTCCTTTTTTAAGAACCCCCAATTCACTGTAACAGGTATTTATTCATTACCTGCTGTGTGAAAGTCACTGTAATACAAAGATGAAAGATTATGCTGTGTTTGCCCCAAGGAATTTATAATCTAATAGGACATAGGATCCATAAGCAAGTATAATACAGTTTAACAAGGTAGATTTGATAGGGGAAAATTAAGAAGTTCCAAAGTGCTCTAGGAAAAGTTAAGGAAGGAAATCTGTCTTAATGAGATACTTTGCTAACACTCATATTCTTTGTATTTGAGGCAATAAACAGCAGGACTACTTTCCTACCTTAGGTTAAGCCTAAATCTCAAGAAGATGAGAAATATTGCGTAAAAAAAGATTTACTTCAGGTTGGAGTTCCTGAAAATATTGGATAGTCCTTACTATCTAATAGAAATATTATTACTGTCTTGTTGGACATATTAATTTCTGGGCATTTGGATTTGTACTTCCTTTATTCAAAAAAGACATGAGACAACTTATGATTTAAGCATAACACAGATGAGACAGTGAGAGAGAAAATGAGACAGAGACCATATAGAAGAAATATAGGGGAGTAGATGTCACCAGGAACCAGAAATTAGATGGTTGTCATGATTGAACTGATTTTCTTACTCTAATTTCCTGCCCACTGTGGCAAAAAGAGAAGCACATTGAGTTGTACATAATTTTTTTTCATTATTTA